ATAACAGCAGATGGTAAAAGGACAAAAAGGATAAAGTCGCTTCCAATTTAGGATGACCAAATAGTGACCTTCTCGCCTAAGACACATAACATAACCACAATGTTCCCGATTCAAATCCTCTGCTGCGTGTTGTTCCCCTCTCTCCCTGCCCTTAACATTTTTATATCCGAGTCTCTTGTGCATCCAAAAATAAAGCCGACAACGTCCAGAAAGTAACCTTCGCTGATGTATATGAAAGAATTAATTATAGACTTGCATGAGAAATATGAGCGTCTGGAGACCGGTGGTGAAGTTATTCTCACTCTACAGAAGTCAAAAGGTAATCAACCTACCCATCAGTCTAGTTCTGAGCGATCGAAGACATGTTCTGTTTTTCTTTAGATCATCGTTTTGTTCAGAACAACAGCTTGGCAAAAGTTTAAAATATTACAAATATCACGTTAAAGCACTTCTATCACATAACCCAACACGGTGAAGACGAGACTCGCAAGCAGGTGGCAAATATTTGTCCATCACGGATCCAAACCTTTGTGTTAAATATGCAGTGAAACTCATCCATCTGTGAGCAACCTCAGAAAAAAAAGAAAAGAAATATTGAGCAGCTAACCGTTGCTTTGTCAATAGCAAATCCTCATCTGCAGATTTCAAGGATTTCACCGAGGCGTCTTTTGAGAGCGTATGGATCTAAACACACAAAAATCCTTCTCAGACATCAACACGGCAAAAGAGCGGCTGTGAAATATTATTCAGACTTTGGCAGCAAGGGTGTAATCATAAGGTAAGTAAAGGGATTACAATTGTCTGCTCATCCCAGAATTAAAGGAAGTCTGTTTCATTCAGATTATATTGGCTTCTTTACATATTGGACATTGTGCGGTGACAAATAAATGAGTCTACTGACGGTATCCTGCTACAGTAGCTTCAATGGGAAACCACTGAAGACCTGCAGCGTTCCAACAGTCCTCGATGGTGCAGGGTGTGTCACCAACATGGAGAAAATTGGTGTTTTACTAAGATTTAATCCTAGTTAAAGGTTTTCTGTCATGACCAGGTAAGGACCCAGGTGCAGATCGAGATGGCAGGAAGGTTCAGCAATAAAACACAAACAGGCAAAACTCAAAGGGGCATGAAGAACATAGTTGCAGGAGACAAACTATTTACAAGAACCAAATATGGAGACAAGACAGAGGTGACTCAAGAGATAAAACTAATCAGGGCAATGAAAATACAACAGAAGGAAGCAAAAACACAAGCAATGCAAAAGGCAAGGTGATTTCAAAATAAAACAGGAAATCCCAGAAAAGCGATGTGGAGGATGCGCATCAACAGAGCGAGACACAAACAGACACACACAAAACATTCAAACAAGACTAAACCAAAACTTAAGGACCCTGAAAATATGGGTTAATCCACCTCAAAGCATCAGGGGCCTTCTGCCATCTCTGATTGACTTGAATTTTTTTTTTTTAAATCATAAACTATGAAAAAAAAACAAAAAACCCTACTAACTACTTCATGTTTTGTTCATGTGTATTCACAAAATTTAATTTAAGGAACTACTAAAGATAACAGCATGAAGAATTAACAGTTACATGCAAAGTGTAGACTGATGAGTTAATTTTCTTGATTTGGGAAAAAAAAAAAACCCAAGGCGAATAAGACCACATCTTGCTAGTTTCGAGAAATATTTCCAGATCAGTCTTAAAACTTTTCATATTTTCACAGATTTCTCATCATGTCATTGATGAGAAATCAGCAGAATTGAATAAGTAGGTCAAATAATCTCTGATTATGGGTAAACTGAAAGAGAACTGAAGAAAAAACATCAAAGACTTCATAAATAGTCTCATTGCTGAGCTAACAAAAAAAAAAGAAAATTAATAACGTAGAAGTTACCAATCGATGTTTTCTGACCCACATGAAGCTGCATGTTACAACGTCACAAAACAAAACATACAAAGTACTTTTTAACATGAAATAGTTGGTCACAAAAATGGTCGTTGTGATCATTGCAACCATTGTGGAAACTATTAGTTAACCTTCAAACATTAAGTACATTATGTATGAATTCAATAAGTATAAAAGGTAGCAGTTCACTGTTTCTCCAGCCTGCAAACTGGGGTCAGCAAATGAAAAATATGCCCAAAGGCATAAAAAAAGCCTCAAAGTATTTGATAAATCAAGCTAAAATGTAACAGATATGGTTATAAATATTTATATTTATGCTATACAAATTGCAGAAAAGGTCGGGCAGAAATCACTATTCGATGATTTTAGAATGAATGACTTACATGTGAAAATGACGACCTAAATTACAGTTTTAGAGTTCAGGACAAGTACATAGTTCAGCACGGTTTACTGCTAAATAATGAACTAAAGTCTGACTGAATGCAGCCTGTGACTCAGCATGAATCTACTTGGGAGTCTAAAAGAAGCTTGTGCACTTCAGGATACTAAAGCAGAGACTGACATCTGAACCTAATTTTCGCTGCGTTTGCTCCAGACTTAGTATATGATTGACAGGCCGCTCAGACCGTAGCACTTGGATATTAGCCGTTATTGACTCCCTATCGCCTCGTGGCAGCTAAAGATGAGAGGGACTGATGGTGCAGAGTGGGGGGTATTAAAGACAACCAGCTGTGCCTCTCTCTACGAACATCTGTAACGCAAGGTGATGAGTGAGGAACCCGTGGTGTTTGGGGTAATTAGGAAGATTTATAAGCGATGGTAAGAGGGCTGCCAGTCGGGTGGTGTGTGTGTAGGTGGTGTGTGTGTGTGTGTGTGTGTGTGTCAGCTTGAGGCAGGTGTTGTTTGAGGCACGCTGGCTACATCATCTACTGTCTCCATCCTTTCTAATTACTGTCATTTCATCCAACAAAACAAAAACAACGCTGGTAAAACATTAAAAGCTTAATTACATTTTTTTTTTACGGTAACTGTGTGACATTAGAAAAACTGGATTAGTGTGTGGATGTATTATCTGTAAATATAGGAAAAATAATATTGGAGTCAAACACTTGCTTAGATTGTAGGTGACTATTTTTAATCATGTTTCTTTATAAATAAGATTTCTGGTAATCCTTCAATCTAGAAAATATCAGAAAAAAAACTAACACTGCTCACAACCCACCAGGAAGTAATATGGTGCATTTACTTGCTCTGTTTATTCAGCCCACAAGAAACAAAAAGCAATTCCTGAAACCCGAAAACTACGTACGAGGATGCCTGTCCAGTCTACATCAATGATACATCAAATGCTATGGAGGAGTGTCATTTCATCGTTTCTGCAGGTGCTGTGGACCAGGTAATGTGGTGCACAGCACACACGGAGGCTTTTGCATGCTGGTGAAGTGGTGCACTAAAGCAAAGCTAAGCTCTAAACATGTAACTGCCAGTGCCAACCAAATGTGAAGTCACTGGTATATGTATAACCAACATCGCTGGCAACGATGGACATGTGTAAACCGATACACGGACACACGGACACATCTGCACTCTTACTTTGAGTGACCTACAATGTTGTGTGTGTGGATGAGAGGCCTAAAAGTAGAGGAAGGTGCTAGTTTTGCAAAATATCAGCATTAAGGCGTATTTGGTGGGACTAGTATTACCCGGGGACCTGCTAAGTGAGTTACAAATAACCTCCCTGCATCTGTGTTTCATGCGGCACATTTATCCAGAATAAGCAAAGTCTGCATTTTACACAAACTTAGTGACGTTATCCGTGGATGTGATATAAATAGGCGGCTACATAAGGGAGCGTTGAAGGACAACAAACTGTTCCTGCAATGCTTGTCTTCCATCTTAACATCCTTTGAGATTTCGATCTTCTGATGTGTTTGAGCTTTCTGTGAACGGGTCTCCGAGCTGTGGAGTGACAGCAGCCTCTTGAAATTGCACTTTCATTTCTAATTGCCGATGCAGCCTTCATCATTTTTGAAGAGGCAGAAGAAAGGTGCTGAGAAACAAAACAACACAAAACATGACCCCAGATGACAGAGATGCTGGTTTGCACGGGACCAGCATAATCACAGGACCTCCCGGAAGGCAATTTGAGGTAGAATTTTATCTTTACGGACACGACAGATTGGTGCATGAATAATAGCGCAGATGACCTCAACAGTTATTGCAAATTAGTGGTCCCCGGATAGTACTAGTCCTGTGTGATTAAGGCTTTAGTGTGGACAAGGAAGAGGGAAGCTGGAGTCTGTCCAAGTTCAGCATTTTATCTGAAATTCCCTTAATTTTTTTTGACTGAAACAGTTAATGTTAAATAATATTAATGACCGAGACTGTACTCAATTAATTTTCTGTTGCTCAAGCAATTGATTAAAAGGCTAATTATTTTAGCTCTGCTGCTGTCCAACTGTAAAACTTGGGAGATAAATATTTAAAAAAAAGAAAAAAAAATCAATAAAAATATCATCTATCCGTGGCTTTGGTCCAACTGTATTGGCACACTTTAGCAAATAGCTTTCTAGAGTCCTCATCAGTAAACGGTGGGTGTATTTTAGACACAAGCAAAATGTCCCCTTCAATATTTCTCGCCAGAATAACTTCCCTAGAGACTGTGGGTGAATAGTGTGAAAGAGGCGTCTGGAAAGCCTATTCAATGGTGTCTGCAGTGTGGATTCACTCCAGTCGCACAAGCTCCACTACGGCCATGAAAGAGAAGGAAAATGCTGGAGTGTTTGGGAGGATTCGTACTCGACTAGAGAAGCCATTCATCACGTTGCTGTGTTGCTGTGCAGCGGTTAAGTGACAGGAAAGTGGCGACATCCACAACGCGATTAAAGTCACACTCTGATAATTACAATTGACTGTAAAGACACAATTCTGTCCACAGCTGTCAGATTATGATTAATACATTTACAAATAAGGCATCCAAACTGCAGATGCAGACAAGCATAAATGAATATAACGTAATGGATGTAAACGCTGACAAAGAAAAACAAATCCTCCCTCTCGCGATGACCTGGAGCGCAGTCGTTAAGTCCTACCTGTGTCCGGTTGTTCTCCAGAGTTTTCTCCAGCTCCGCCTTGGCAGCAGCCGACTCCTGTTGGTGGGTTTGTCTCAGGTGTTCGATGGCCGATGCGTGGATGTGGTTCAGCTCTGACCGCAGAGAGGCTGATGGGAAAATTCAAGTCGAGAAAAAAAAAAAAAGAAGCACAAGAAGAAGTCATTTTTCATTTGCACAGGCCGTGTCGCACATGATGAAACAAAGCTACACTGCAAATTTCAGACTCGGGGGTTACGGTGCATGCAAGACTTGCTCAGAAAGCTCCTTTCTTTAGTCTGTTAGTGTGATGAAAAAAAGAGCTCATTAGATGCTGAGGCATTTTTATTGCAATACTTTTTTACTTTGCACATAAAGAAGAGTGCCTCGGCTGCCTTCCCCCGAGTGGCCTTTAATCCACACTCCAATGAACACCTTTTATTGCAAACAGTGTAATGGTTTAGAGAGGCATGGAGAGGGAACACACGCCGCTATTAGCCTCCCACTTCCATGTAGTGGAAGAAAAAAAGAAATGTAACAGTTTATAAAATGCAGAACATGTCGAAGAAGAAAAAGCACACAATATACATTTCTGAGCACATACGTATGGATGCACATAGCGAAAAGATGACGGGAAGTAAGAGAGAGAGAGAGATAAAGAGAAAAGGGTAATAAAAGAATGTCATGATCTGAGAAGTAAGAGATAGATGGAAGAAACTCTCCAGTGTCGGGACCATGACATGAAGGTTAATGGAAGAGCATTTATCACAGCACAGCACTGGTGTGTTAACACTAAGGACTGGGTAAGGCTGAGATTTCACTGCACTTTGCTCATATTTGGTCTTTTCTCAGACTTTTAAGGCCCCTGCAGATTCCCCTCGTTTTACTTACATCACAGTTTATGAAAAAAATAAAATAAAAAACGCTTTCAAAACATTTTCTCTGTCCAATTTCTGCATTAACTTAAGACAAAGAGCAGTAATGCTGCAGCGTGTGATGAAGGGATGGGAGTTTATTTCTGTCTAGAGTCATGCCAACAAAAGATCGTCCATATGTCTTTTATTTCGCTCTGTGCTGAATGTAAAATTATAGCAAGCCTTTCAAATTGATGCCATGCTTATTAATAAATGCAAAGATATTTTCACTCCCACCGTTGCTCATTAATCTGTCAATTAAACACAGTACTTTTCCTGCTGACTGGAAACAAGCCATTGTCACTCCTATTTTTAAATCTGGAGGCCGCCATTATGCCAGTAACTATAGACCCATAAGCATATTGTACATTCAAAGGTGGCTGACAAAGCCGATATTGAATACAAGCTATTTTGGTTTACATAACATGCAGTTTGCTATTAGAACAAATTGTTCCACTGAAACAGCCACATTACACCTAACAAAGCAAGTAAAATTGGAGCTTGACGAAGGAGGCGTAGTTGGTGCTGAATATTTAAGTTTGCATCAATCATTTGGTACAGTTGAATTTAAGTTAAATTTCCTATTTCTACACTATCAGAGCTTCCCTTTTCACCTAAAACACTGACACAGTGTGTTAAATGTAATAAGCAGCAACATGAAGTACACAGCAGGTGTACCTCAAGGATCAGTGCTAGGCCCCCTTGTATTTAATGATCTTCCCATAGACTGCATATAAAGGTGGACAATCACTCTATGATGTCACTCAGAGGTTTGGCAAACAGGGTTTTGAAGCTCAACGTAGTGGCTCTGGCCGTTGCCATCTTGGTAGTGTCTGACTGGTCCTAACTCCTGTTAAATTAAAAAATGAGCAATGAGGTAGAGTGTGAATTGAGCTGAGGCTGACCATGCAATTGTCTCTGGGTCATGGACTGTCCTGTGACAGTAAAGATTGGTCACTACACCCTGAAGTATGCATCGCTTTAAGTCTTAATCCAATTTTAATGGGTGAGTTCACCTTTTGTACAGCTATCATGAACAAAAATCACCCAAAACTGTTTATTTCTGATTTAAAGTTTTCAAATTGAAATCAATGTTGGCTTCTCTATACTGGCTTAATTTTTCAGCCAGAGGTTGCCAATTTAGAGTCTTTAATCTTTAAAGATAGTGCCTTTGGACAGAGTTGCAACTGTATGCTGATGACACTGTTGTATATACACTTAGAAAAACAGCTAAGCTAGCAGCTTTGAAGCTAACACCTCTACCAAGTAAATCATAGAAAAGCTTGAATTAGCAAGGCATAAAGTATGTTTGTTTCCAAAACCAATGTACAGTCTTCTATTGTTAATGTTTTCAGGGTGAAACGATTGATAGAAATTTAGATATCTTGCTGATAGATATCAATAAAATGATTATTTGGGCAAATACAAGCTCTCTTTCTATATGTACCTTATTGTATTAGAGAGGAAAAGCAGTTATTGGGTCAAATCTTGCACAGTAACATCACTGTAGAAACACCATCTTCTGAGTTTTGAGAATTTTAGACTTTTTTTTAAGTCTTTGTATAACAATTTAAATAGTTTGTACTCTAATATGGACTGTAGTAAGTGACAGTGTTGAATTTTGCTTAGAAAACTAAAATCTACAAGAACATCTTCTATACAAGAATGCACTGAACCTTTTTTGCTGCACTGCCTTTGGTCAATCAGTGTTCTCTGTAAAAGCTAAAAAAAAGAATTGTTGTATGCTTCAAAGTCAAATTGGAAAATATGCTAAAATCAAATCAGCTTTGGACCCACTGACTCTCCATCCTGTATGATTTGCTCTATTCTTTTTTATGTTAATTTAGCTTTGTACTCAGATATCCTGGTTTTTCATTTGTCTTACATACTCATGGTGCTGACAAGCTGTGTGTGTGATGTATTACTGTGTCCAATCTATAATATGTGTTTTGTCTTGTTTTTCTAGTTTACTTTGTGCTGTTTTGTCACGGTGTGGAACTTGTAATTGTGACCCGCTGGGAGATCGTAAAGGAAAATTAATCTTAGGCTGGTACAATGCATCAAATAGTACCATTCATGTATAATACTGTACATGGCCCTTTACAAATGAAACAAAATAAATGACTTCTATTTTAACCCTGATGGGAAACATTGTTCTAGTTTTATACAAATGTCTTTTGTTGTAATTGTCCATGAGTTACAATGCAATGACTGAGAGCACATGCAATGATTCCACTGCATTCATGTAGAGCCACATTCATGTCGTAACGCATCCTTATATGTAATTTGTTCTTAAAGGTTTTATTTTTCAGTAATTCCTATCATCATGGTTTTGGTTTGTACTGTAAAATCAGTGCAGACTGAAAACCACAAATCCACGCAAAATGGGCCAAAAGGCCATGGGTGGGTTAATCTTTTATTATGCTCATACGCAGACACACTAACACACACTCACCACACACTCTTAAGACCTTACCCAGCATGGCTTTGCCCTCGTCCTCCAGTTCAAAGCGGAGTGTTTGCAGCTCTTGTTCAGACTGCTGTTTGAGTGTCTCGATGCTCTGACGGTGAGCCTCTCTGAGAGACTGCAGCTCTGCATGGTGATGATGGCGGAGACGCTCCTCTAACTCCTGATGGAGAGATGAGAGGGGGAGGAAAAGGGAGCAGAGGAGGGTGAGAGAGGAATCAAGAGAGGGCAGAAAAACAGGGAGGAAAAGCACAACAGAAGAGAGTAGGAGGACCAGAGGGAGGGAGCGTGAGGAAATTGAGGAGAAAGTAGGGGAAGAGGGAAAAATTTGTTAAGAAAATGAACAGCGTAGGAGGAGATGATGGAGTGGGAGGGGAAAGTAAGAGGCAAGAGGGATATAAGAAGGAAGTAAAAAAGTGAAGCAGGGAGGCAGTTTATTTTAATTCCTCTATGAGCTGAAGGAGAAACTGACCAGTCAGCTACAAAGAATAGAAGAAAGAGGCTATTTCTGCCGCATAGTCTTTGAAAAATAGAGGTCAACTTCTATGTCAAAATGCATTGTAATACAAAGACATGTTCTCATATTTGAAGTGTTAGAAAAACTTTAATTGCAAGTCAGCCTACTGTGGAGTTTTGAGATTAGTTTTGATTCACCTGCAGTGTCAAAATGCATTGTAGTATTGTAGAGAGTATTTCTCATATTTAGACCTTTCAGAAAAACGTTCCCAAAATGCTTTGCAAACGGCTTTGACTGTAACCTTACATCTTTCGCAAAATTAACTCACTCACTTTGAAGCTGAGCATCAAGTTTCTTTTAGAATACTGACGCTTAGTTCAATATATGTCTCGGTTAGCAAATGATGGCTGTAGATTTATTAAACTTTTTAGATGAACCGAGTTTTCTGGACGGACTGACGAAGCTAAATGATATTTTGAAAGGGTTACAATCATAAATTTGGCGAGTAGGCGAAGTGAGAGGGGCTGAGAATGAAGTAAAATATGTTAGTCTAGTCTACCTGACTCACAGATCATGCTGTCCACGCTAATCTCACACACAAGTTTATACTTTGTCAGTCACATTTTTACAAGTTCAGAGTTTTTTTTTTATTTTATCCAGTTATTACTGCATTTAAAAGGGCGAGAAGGCTTTGAAAACAGGCCAAAATTAGAATCATATAAAACATTTCATTTCCTAGGAGCTCCTACTTTATGAAAAACAGTTCAGTCTAGATGTTAAACTGAAATAAATGAGCATTAGGATGTCCCCACACTGGTCTACAAGTGTAACAGAGAGAGCAAAAGATAGTTGATTTCAGCAAACACACGCGTCTTTAGTTGTTCTTCATTCACTACAATTTCACATCTAATCCAAACTGAAATGGCTCCAAAAACTACAGAGTCTGTAGCTATCAGGTCATATTAACACTATGAGTGTAATCGTGGTTTTGACAAACTGGTCATAAGAGCTGATGTTCAGTTTGTTGCTTCCAGCTGTTTGTAGGAGTCTTTCCTCTGAGTTTATTAAAAATCTGGTGACGTTCCATATGAACGTCTCCAAAGAGAGACAGATGTGCGCATTTCAGAACATGGAACAACAGCGGCAACGTCATTAATTACTTACAATCATAAATCCTCCCCAGCATGTGGCTGCCGTCAATAATGATGGAATGGCAAATGATACAGTGTGTATGTGACAGGTGAGCTAAGTCATAGAAGTTTATATGTTAAATTATTTGCTCCATAGCAGCCATCCTCCGTCTAATGTGAAAAATAAATGTTAAATATGTGTTTATGGACAGGTGTCAGTCAGTTAATCTCTCTGTGTGCTTCCCACCATTATGTGCTAAAAGTTTTCTAACAGACAGACGAGTCTAAGACGAAACCGCTGGGTTCCTTTAAAGTTTTTTGGTTTCCTTTTTTTTTTTTTTTTAGCAAATTTTTTTTTTTTTTTTTTTTAGCAAATCAAATTAAAAACTCATTTGCACTCATGTTTTTTTGAAGCTGAATGACTGATTGCATTGTGTTCAGTTAGCTTCATCTCTCTGTTTTTGATCTCAGCTTTGGCTTCGTAACAAGAAGCGAACAAACAGTTTAAACAGAACAACGTATTCGACCATTAGCAGAGACAACTGACAAGCACTTAGATACACAGTATTAGCATCAGGCATTAGGTCTGTTGACTGGATGGTTGCCACAAAACACACGGGTGTAACATTAATGGAGACCTACTAATGTAACGCTGCTGGCAGCTGAGTGTTTACGCTGGCAGGAAGAGCTGTTGTTGATGTGTGAGGATGCACATTTGGTTGCCTGAGTGTTTGTGTTTGGACGTAGCGATGGGTTTACAGGAAATATAGTTGTATATTTTGGGGAAATACATTCATTACTGGTGCAGCTGTCAGCACTTCAACAGGTGTGAGTCTGTGACGTCTGCGTGTCAAGTGGAATTTAAACTTATCAGTCTGGCAAACTTACTGTTTATGTGAAGTGCAAGGACAAGGTTTTTTTCTGACTGAACTCTTCTCACTACCAAAACGTTCTCTAAATGTAGCATTAAACATGTAATATATGACAATAATTTGATTACAGTGAACCAGGTTTTCTCTGTATATATATGTTGAGAGTTTATATTATAAAAACACCTTTAAATTAACAAAACTTATAACAAGCTTGATCCTCCCTGAATATCTGTATCTTTCCATCTGCTGTGGATGTGGCTTTTGTTTTCATCGCTGCCTGGGAATAGAGTAGAATAGAATAAAGCTTTATTGTTCACCAAGGTGGAAAATTGTCTTTGGCTCACCAACTGTTAGATATATTTTAGTTTCCATAGTTTGTGGTAAACAACACTGACTACAGCGCAGTAAGACTCACACACAAAGTCTACTCATCACTCAGACAGTAGCCATGCTTCCATTTAAGTGTGGATTCAATTTGTAGCAAACATCTGAAATGTCACAAAAAAGACAGAAAAAGCAAATCAGGCTTGCGTTGGGTCGAGTTTGAATAGTGTCATCAAAAGGTGGCGGTGTTGTCTATGTTATGCATTGCTAGCTGTAATAAACACATCTCAAATGCATCTCCAGGAGACAGGAGGCTTGTTATAGGAGCTATGAGTGAGAATGCACAGTTGTACCTTTGCAAAAGTCCCTCTGGCTCAAATAAAAATCACTGTGTATAAAACATGCATCACTTAATTATGATTCATGTCACGCATTGCATGTACAGTGCGCTTTTGTGTGTCGTGACTCTTTTATACTTCATGGCATGTGTGTGTTAAATTCAAAAAGTATGACATGTACAGTTTCATCTCATTCTGCCATATTGTGACTTATACTGCAAGTTGTCATGATCACTGTTCCGCTCATCTGACAGAGACCACGAATCACAGCGGTTTGCAGCAACAAAACAATAAACAGATGATACAGCTGCGCAGTCATATTTAATTGACGTTGCTATGAAACAACAGCTCAGAGGCCAGGATGTCTCGTTTTGTTAAATGCCTTTTGTCTTGACTCATGTCTCTTCCTTGACTCCTCTGCTCGCGTCTCCGGTGGGAGAGACTGCAGGGAGACGAGAGGAGTCGAGGAAAAGAATCGAGGATGTGCAAACTGAGAAATGAGCACAGGCAGTTGTTTGCCAGCTGCTGAAAACCCCCTTGAAGAAGAAGCAGAAAGGAACAAAACCATCTATGAGAAAAGAAAAGGGTGTTCAGGGACTGGTTTTAATCTGGAAAGTTCTAATTATTCTTTCATGTCGGCTTGTGCTGTCTGTATTCGTGCTGTCTGGAGGCGAAAAACAACAAAAGAAGTGGAAGCAGCTGATCGGTGATGTGAGTTAAATGATCACGGTGTTGTTATTTCCCATGAAGCACATTAACGCCTCTACATTTGTTTCCAATTTTGCCATTTCAACAAACTTTTTCCAATATGATGTGCAGAAAACACAACTACTAAAAACTCTATCAGCAGTGGCTGACCCAAACTATCTAACGATCAATTTATCTAAAGTTGCCTGATTGGCTGAACTGTACATGTTCAAGTTCATTTTACCTTAAAACGCACATTTTAGTTATAATCTTCCCCATGTTTCAACAGCTTATTCAGTCCTGGCAATGTTGTTATTCTAGCAGCTGTAGAGAGGTTTTATAACCTGCTGCAGTATTTTTTGTGTGGTACCTGCTGTGTACACATTTTGCAGATAGTGTATCATGTCTTAAATTGTTTTTTGAACTCTGCACCCCTACAACAAACCACATTATTGTCTGTATCTAAAATAATGAGTCAGTTCAGTGTAGGCAGGTAACAGGTAATACACACCATGCAAACTGAAAATAAAGAAGAAAAAACAAATATGGCTTCTGTTTCCATCAACAGTCATAAAACATTCAACAAAGCTCTGATCTATTTGTTCTTTTATTACACAAAGCCCCTAAAAGCACACCAAACTACAAAAAAATGTCGACGAAAACCGCTGTTCACGTTGAGTTTAGCTCATTTTTCTTTGTCAGTGAAATATTAAGGTGCCATTTTGCAAATTAGAACTACAATCCATCAACAGGAAGCATCTAAAATGTTATTCATAGAAGGTTGACAGCAACATCTGCGGCATTTTAATTCACCAATGCGTAATGCCGTTGGGAAATGATTCATGCGAACCAAGACATCCTTGAATATTCAAATGAAGCTCATTCTGAGCTGGCGGACAGCAGTCTTAGCGTCTGACGGAGCACCCATGCTGTTTTTATGGTAACAATTTAAAAGCCCCAAACACAAAACAGAATCATTATAGTTCATTAACGACATGGTTTTTTAACAGCCAATGGATAATAATGTTGTTCTTCATGCTGGATTTAGCCGAACTATGATAATAACAAGAACTACAACATGCTGCCTCCTCTCATGACAATAGCTGTTGCATATTGCATCACTGACTCTCTGTGTCATCTCACAGGCTGATATTCTGTCTCAGTTGTGCAGGAGCCTCCAGTGTTCCCCTTCATGCAACACAAGCTGACCTCCACATCCACCTGTGCACCTGCTCCAACCTGCTCCAATACCCCTAATAGGCTCTCACTACATTAATTCCTGCCCTTTAACATTCATTCCTTCACTAATCATCCGCAGTGCTTCAGTTCAGGTCTGCTTGTAGGAGTTTTTCTCT